AAAAAAAAAAAAAAAAGGAGTTAAATCCCACAGGCCAAAGTGGAGAGAGCGGAGGGCATTTATACAAAACCTCCTGCTAACTTTCTGGCTTGTGTTTCAGGACCTTCCCAGAGCCAAAGACCCATCAATTCTGCATCAAGTCCAGACTCAGCCACAAAAGGTCAAGGCAAGAGACCAACTGTTTCCAAGAAAGTCAGAAATGGATTTGGACTGTGCCAGTAGAAACTCTAGGAAGGTTTATCTTAAAAAACAGCTTAGTGGTGGCTTCTGAAATTCCCCTCCCCTTGTCCCCCTCCTCTCCGTTTGCCTGGGTCTCTCATGTTGTCCCTAATAGAGTTTTATTTCACCTGCCTGCCATCCCCTTTCGAGAGCAAAGCAGCTGTGCAAACAGGAGACAGGCCTGCTAAGATGTCCATTAAAATACCTCCATCGCCTTCTTCAGATCAGGGGAGGCCGTGTGGACCATACTTCCAACCCTTATTCCAAGATGTTTAATTTAATTTAGATTAACAGGGTCGGAAGGGACCTTGTAGGTCATCTAGTCCAACCCCCTGCCCAAGCAGTTTAAAGACAGAAGCAAGCCCTGGCACTAAAACCCTAAATCTCTCAAGATGAACTAGATTTCCGGTGACTTGATGGACACATCTAGATCATGTTTTCAGCAGCTTTTACGCAAGCCGTTGCCCCGCCTTGTTGGGAAAGTTTATTTTAGCTTCGTAGCTTAATCTTCAAAGAGGCATTTCCGAGCGGTGCTGCATCCAGGTTTAACCAGCTTTAGATCTGGTTGGGGTTGTTTTTTTTTGAAGCTGGATTGAGTCTCTTTGCTGGGTTTCCTGCACTGTAAAGGCAATTACAAGGATCGTGTGCCTCTGAGTGCCTGAAAACATTCTTTTGTTAACTTATTGCAATTATATTTGCCTACAGAAGTTGTGGATGCTCCAATACTGGAAAATTTTAAGAAGAGATTGGACAACTATTTGGTATAGGGCAGGTTTTCCTGCCTAGGCAGGGGGTTGGACTAGAAGACCTCCAAGGTCCTTTCCAACTCTGCTATTCTGTTCTATTCTATTCTATTCTATTCTATTCTATTCTATTCTATTCTATTCTGTTCTGTTCTGTTCTGTTCTGTTCTGTTCTGTTCTATTCTATTCTGTTCTGTTCCATTCCAAATTTATTCTATTCTACATTTATTCTATTCTATTCCTAAGTTATTCTATTCTATTCTTCATTTATTCTATTCTATTCTATTCCATTCCATTCCTTTTATTCTATTCTTCATTTATTCTATTCTATTCCTAGTTTATTCTAATCTATTCTGTATTCTTTTCTGTGTTCTGTTCTATTCTATTCTTATTCCTATTCCTATTTCTATTCTATTCTGTTATCTTGTCTTTTCTTCTCTTCTCTTTCTCCTATTCTATTCTATTTTACTCTATTCTTATTCCTATTCCTATTCTATTCTATTCTACTGTATTTTATTCTATTTTACCCATTTGCCTGAAATAGTATTTTCTACTCTCCTAATGAATGTTGGAGAATCAGGGAGACAGAGAGCAGGAGTGGAAAAGAGATTTGAAGCAACAGATGAAGTCAAAGTGCTGGTTTAGCTCAGAGGCTACAAGAATGAGAAAATAGAAAAGAAAAATCTGTCATGTGAATCTCCATTTAATTTCAGGCTGAGTTTTCCAGTGTTGGGGAAGTTAAACTGATCTATGTATACAATATAAACATCACAGCAAAGTAATATATGATATGATAGATAGATAGATAGATGCCTGTGCCCAAAAGACTGAGTTGAGTAACGTTTCTTTCTAAGCCATAGGTGGCTGGGTTGAAAAAGCACAAAAACAAATCAAGTATTTGTGTGTGTTTGCAATCAACCTGTTGGGTAAGAATTGACACAACTTTCTAAAGTACATAGAAAGACTCACTGGATAGCTTTGTAATATCTGCAGCATCCTACAAACTCATTACTTGATGCTCATCAGCAAAGATTTATGGGCTTCGATATAGAAGCAGTTCCTAGAAAATTTCCCCACTGAACACACCCTCCTGCCAACTTCCCAAAATCAGTTCATCATAATTGAGGATTGCCTGTACGCTAAAATATCAAATTCTCCTCCCACGTTCTGTAGTTGAAAGGTCTAAACATCCTTATAGAAGGATCTTGTCTTTCAGTTATTCCTTTTCTTAAACCTAGCTGTTTTTGTTTTTTAAAAAAACACGAGCCTTTTTGTTCCTTTTATTGATTCCTCTGTGAAAGTCCTCTCTAAATTCTTCTGATAACTTTCTTCAAGCGTGCTTTGGTTGCTGTGTCTGCTGAGTAATTCATTTTATAGCTTACCACCCCTTGTAAGTTTAAGATAAATTCCCAACTGGGAGATAAAGAAAGAAAGAGAGAGAGAGAAAGAGAGAGTGATAAAAAGAAAGAAAGAAAGAAAGAGACAGAGACAGAAAGACAGAGAGAGAGAGAGAAAGAGAGAGAGAGAAAGAGAGAAAAAAAGAGAGAGGGTGAAAGAAGAAAGAAAGAAAGAAAGAAAGAAAGAAAGAAAGAAAGAAAGAAAGAAAGAAAGAAAGAAAGAAAGAAAGAAAGAAAGAAAGAAAAAGAAAGAGAGAGAGAGAGACAGAGACAGAGACAGAAAGACAGAGAGAGAAAGAGAGAAAGAAAGAGAGTGAAAGAAAGAAAGAGAGACAGAGACAGAAAGACACAGAGAGGGGTGGGGGAAGAAAGAGAGAGGGTGAAAGAAAGAGAGAAAGAAGGAAGGAAGGAAGGATTTGAGGCTTGAGTTGGGTAGATCCCAACAGGCATGGTAACTAAAACTGATTTTTAGGGACGGTTTAATCATCTTTCTCACCTCATTCCCTGCCAGTAAAGTTTGACAATTCAAGAGGCCCCAAATCTTGCTTTCTTGCTCTGCAGGAAACGATCTTGAAAGCACAACCTTCAGGAAGTGAATGGGACTGACTTGCATCTCCTTAAGAGCCATGATAGCTTTCCATGACAACCTGCCTCCTGAAGCAACGGATGGCCGAGAGGGTACCAAAATTTGCCAGCAGCACTGGAGAAAAAGAAAAAACAATATGTCCAGATAAATGAATGTGATCAAGCCAGGATGAAGCATTTTTTGCACAGTGTCTTTGCCCCTTTTCAATATTCCAATCTTTCCTGCAATTTGCACCAAGTTCTTCCTTTCTGCAACTGCTTTCTGCTGTCTTTTACTATGTTTTTAGCTAAAGGAGGGGAGGAGAAAACAAAGTCTTTTCTTTCCACTTTTTTTAAACCTTCTAGGTTTCCCCAAGCATCGCTGCATCCCAACCATGAGGACAAGGAGTTTTACAAAAACAAAAGGAAAGTGAATTCTGTTTAAAACCGTCTTCCTGGCACACTTGGGAATCTGTTGGATTTTTGAAACAGGGGAGGGGACAGATAGGGAAGGGCGGGGAGGGGAGGGAAGGAGATAAAAGAAGAAGGAAAGGAGGAAGAGGAAAGGGAAAGGGAAAGGAAAGGAAGAAAAGAGAGGAGGAAAGGAAAGGAAGAAAAAA